TACGGGGTGTTGTGGTACCATGTGAATTAAATCTCCCAAAGATCCCCTCTTTTTTTTTGTTTGTTTTTTTGTTCCTTTTTTTTTTTTTTTTTTTTTTTTTGTTTTACATCCAATTTTCTTCTTTTCGTTTTGTCTCCTGCCTCCTGCACCGCCACCAACACCCAACGCCCCCACCACCACCCACCCACCCCCTTCCCACTTCGTGCAGAAATAGAGAAGCAAACGCGCCAACGCGTACACACTGCAAATCCCACGTACCCAGAAGGTGTGAATGCGTCATATTACGGGCATGTCTGCCAAGTAAACCAAAAGAAAAAAAAAGAAAAATCGCTCAGTCCCCCAACACCGCCATCTCTCTCCCTCTACACACCACAAAAAAAAAAAAAAAAAATTAAATAATAACCTGTTTTTTTGTTGTTGTTGTTGTTTTTTTATTATTTATTATTACTTTTTGTTTTTGTTTCGCGGGAACTACAAATACGTCTTCTTTTTTTTTTTTTTAGTTCTTGCAGGGGATTCCCACTTTAAATAAATAAATACGAAAAGATAAACAAAAATAAAAGAAAGAGATGATAACACACACACACACAAACAGTTATATAAATGATCATCATACTCCTCCTCCTCTCCTCCTCTCCTCCTCTTCTTCTTATTTTTTTTATCTTTTTTTTTTTTTCTTGTCGCCTCATTAATTGAAGGCCTAAATTTACGTGCCTAAATTTTCAGTTACGATTCCTTTTCTTCTTCGTGTTTTTGCTTTTTTTTTGTTTTTGTGTGTTTTTTTCCTTCTTTTTCTCGTTTTTTTTTTTTTTTTATTTATTATGATCGGTCGTCTCATTTATTATCGCCTTCCCCCCCACACACACACACTTTTCTTCTTCTTTTCTTTTGGCCCTTTTTTTCTTTTCGTTTTCCTTTTTTTTTTCTTTTATTATTTTCGACTTTTTTGTTTGTTTGTTTACTTCATTCACTCCCCTCTCCTCCCCCTCACATGCCTCCACATCGACTTCCCCGCTCGCTGATGCCACACACACAAACACACCTTCACTCGCAGCGGCGCTGTCCGGTGGTGGGAGCGTCCAAAGTACACACACATGCACGCACGCAAAAAGAAAAGAGAGAAAAGAAAAGGGAAAAAAAAACAGCATGTGAGAAAAAAGCACTTCCATGCGGCATACAAGAAAGTAAGGAATAATAAACTACGAAATGGGAAGGGGAGATGAGAAAAACAAACAAACAAAAAAAAAAAAGAGAAAAAGAAGGAAAGGAACACAGTGGGTCGCAGTGATCCTCCCTTCTCCCTCCCTCACTTTCTCCCTCTCAGTTCTGAAGCATTGTGCGTGTTAGCTGGAGAGCCACATCCTTCGGCGGAGTGTTAAACGGCAGTGCCAGCGTAGGCGGCAGGTTGTAATCTAAGAAGGGCTCCGGTGGGCGGTACTTTGGAGGCGATGCCTTGGCATTCGATGAAGAAAGCTGAAACGGCAGATGTGTTGGCACACCGACCATAAACGATGTTTGCGGCTTGGCTTTAGCCCCGTGTGTCTGCCGACTACCGCTCGAACTAAGTCCTAACATCAGTGGGGAGGGCGACAAAGCCCCACCGTTCACCTGAACAGTGCCAGTTGGGTTGCTGTTCATTGCTAGAGGGAGTGTCTTTTGAGCATTGTGCACGTTGGGATTGAGAATGTACCCGTAGCCATTCACATCAAGGTGACGCTCATCGGGAAGTTCATGAAGATATTGGCACTGTGCCCCGCGAAGACACCCCCCGTTGAGAAAGTACTTGCACAGCTCTTGCGACCGATCGTGACTGACGATCGCCGGCATCAGACCGACAGCGTTGCTGCCCATGCCATTCACACCACCGCCCCCGCTCTGCACGAGCACCGATGGGGAGGTGGCAGTGACGGCAGATGAGGACAAAAAGGCGTAGCTATTGCCGCTAGGAAGTGATGTGGTTGCGGCCGCGTTAGCCGCTGCAACCGTCGAGGTAATTGGCGCTGAGGCGTTGCCACCACCCATCCCTGTTGCTCCACGGCTGTTTGCATTTGCACCTCCGCCTGACGTCCCTGTGGAGGTGCCGCCAAGCAAACCCGTCCCCCAGAGGCCAGGATCCTTTGGCATCATTATCACAGGGAAAGGACACACTCAGCTCAGAAACTATATATATATATATAATGTGTAATGTATATAGAATCACTGAGTGAGAAATCTATGTAATAAAGGCGTATATTTCACCCTCCCTAGTGATTCTTTTGCAGGATTCTCTTTAACCTGCAAACGTAGCAGCGACGCAAAGAAGAAAAAAAAAAAACACCCTTAACAACGGTCAGCCTGTGTCACCGTTCTACTCCCTGAGCCCCTCCCCCCCCTCCCCCCTAACCCCTGTCTCCTTGGTAGCGCTGTGGTTGTTGTGGTTGTTTTTGTTTTTTTCTTCTCTCGTTTCGCCTTATTAGGCTTAAAACCCTGACTATTTTTATTTTTATATTTACTTTTCTCCGGTTTAAATTTATTGGAATCCTTTGTTTCTCCTACACTTTTTTTTTTAATATTTCCCACGTTCCTGCGCCGTCCACTTCGGTTTTCAGCGAAGCAAAATGACTGCGCAAAAGAAGCACAACCCAAAAAAAAAAAGAAAAAAAGAAAAAAAAAACGTAGTGGACCGCAGCAGCAGAAGTAAAAAAAAGAAAAAGAAAAGAGAATTTAAAATGTAGGTCCTTTTCCCCGCCTCCTGCTCTCCCCTCCCTCCTTCCAAAACACACACGCACGCACGCACGCACGCACTATTCCCCTTTTCCGCCCTTTGGCTGCGGTCCTTCTCCTCAACAGCCGCCACAGACCCGAAGCTGCTGCTGCTGCTGCTGCCGAGGCGCCAGTCTGACACTCACACACCACGCTGCTTCTCTTGTGTGCGGCGAACGTTGACTGAGCGAAGATAGGCCGTCATGGGGAGCAACACAACAACAAACAACATGGTTACAGCGCCAATGCCGCGACTCTTGCACCGGACACATGTGCACTCAAAGCCCCACCGCTTTTTCATTGCCAACGCCAATCGTGACAGTGGGAGGGTATTTCCAGGCATGTAGTTGATGAACAATTCCTCTCCCTCACGCACCGGGCGTACTGTTCGCGCGCTCAGAAAAAATCTTCCCTTCAGACTATTGTACGTAATTGTCACCTCCACGTTGGGCTCGCACTGGTGGTTAAAGTACTGTGCCTCAGGAAACAGGCAAATGCCACGTCGCCCGTTGTATTCAACGTCGTATCGATTGAACTCAATGATGAGTGGAAGCTTTTGCAAATCGTAGGAGGAAAACTCGCCGCTAAGAAGATAATTCGCCCCATTCTTAAGAACGCCTTCCGCGCCCGGGGCACGCACATCCTCCACAAACTCAAAGACATCCCTCTCTCGGGTAAAGTATGAAAAACCGCCAGACATGAGTGTCATGACGCGGTGTTTGATGTACAGCTTCTCCTCAGGGGAGCCAAGCACAAGTTTTGTAAACACCTCCTTTGTAAGGATCAACACCTGTTCCCGTAGCGTTTGCTCCTCACTGTCCCCAATATACATGGCGTAAGCAGGGAGATTCATAATTTCACGCCCGTAACCAATCTCACGACACGCAAACACACCTCGTGCGTACGCACCACCGATGTTGGCGTTCATGTCAATTTTCACGTCGTCCGTCACAAATCCGCCTTTGGGGGGATCAATTTTTCCTTGAACAGGTGAAACACGCGCAAAGTACCGCGCCCCCGTCTCTATAGTTGAAAGCACCATTGCCTTTTCAAGGTTGAAACGGAGAGTCATCCGTTGAAAGGCGCTTCGGTAACCAAATGTGATGGGCATGTGAAAAAGAAAATGGTTCCCCCCCAAAAGGGGCATCTGGCAAGGCCGGGATGTGGAGATCTGTTCCCCCAAATAACTGCCCGGAGAAGAAAAAAAAAAAAGAAGGAAAAAGTAAAACACATAAAGGTATATATATATATATATATTATTTTTTGAATCACGCAGAAACGCGGATACCCCGAGCAAATGCCCGAAAATGTCATCTGACAAAACGGGAGTGTAAACCAACGCTTGTCATCTTTGAATTTATGTCCTTTTTCTTTCCTCTTGTTATTATTGTTCCTCTACCTCTCCTTAGCTTGGTATCATCTATAAGAAGAACTCTCTTTGGATGTATTCACATACCCCCCTTTCTTCTTCAAGAAGGACGCAGCAACAGAACCGTGTTATGCTCCACAACACACATTGTCATCGGTCTCTCCTTCGGTCGCATAAAGTAACTCATACCTTCACTAACACAACCGCCATTGCCGCTGGAATTCCCGCCGTCTCCCACAATCGCGGCCTCGCGTTTCTCGTTGATTGACGAAGCGGCTTTCCCTCCTTTCGAGGGAAAAATACGCTGGAGTGGACGATGGTAAAGAATTTCCATTGTGACTGTGTCAAGTGCAATTAAAGCACCACTCCGCAGAAGTACCGCCAAAGTGTAAGGAAGAAAATTATCAAAAAGTGCAATGTCGGAAACAGGAATATCCTCGCTGCAGTACGTGTGATGCCCAGGACGCAGTGTGAACTCTCTCACAGGCTCTGTATGCCCCTTCGTTGTCTCAAGCTTGGCGAATTTCAGTGGTGGTCCATCCTCGCTTGCGGTCCCGTAATGCTGCTGTGAATCATGAACCGTGAACACCGTGACTATATTTCCATCCAATACCATTGCCACAAGACCGGACTGGTAATATGTGAAGGCTCTGCCGCTCCCCTTTTTCTGAGGGATCGGAGGAACGGCGGTGACCATAGATACACGCCCCGCCATTCGCTCCGCCGGGGTGCAAAAAATAGAGGTATGCGCCAAGGTTTCCAAGTGAACACCCATGAGCGATACGGCACCATCCGACCACGCCGTCAGAAAAACACTTTCATCATCATCCCACCAGCCAACGTATTGCAGTTCCGCCGAGGCCGCATTACTCGGAGACCGTATGCGAGTCCAAGGTGTCTCCACAGTGAACGTCTCAATTGACTCGCCCTCCTTCCACTTCAACACACAGAAGAGAGTCACGTACTCCACAATCTCTCCGGTGAGAAAGAAACTGTTCGTTTCCACGGTGGTTGCACCACACGGTACCGTTGAGGAGAATACGGCGACAACACGCCCTCCCTTTGGGCTGAATCGAATGTATGCCTTTTCCCATCTCCCTTTTGCCGGAACAGCGTCATCGGAAGGCAACTCTACAGCCTTGTGAACCGCCCCCGTCTTGATGCTCACAGAACGCGTGTGACTGGACGCCTCGGATTCGACGGTGAAGAGACACAACGAGCCCTCCGCCGAGGCACACACAAGCGACAAAAATCCTTCCCCCTCCAGTGCCGTGCCAGACGTCGTGATGGACACGGATGACTCCCGTTTCCCTCGCCGGGGGAAAAGTACAGTGTCGATCGCCGCCACCCCTTCTCGACGAGAATCGTGCTGACGCGAGACGTCTTTCTTCTGTGCACGTTCGTCCCTTCGACTCCGTCGCGAGGAATCATGTTCAAAAAGGTACATCTTCATAAAATTGGTGGTGTTGAGGATGCACACTACACCACCAGAGAGAGCGCAAAAAAGGTAATTTGAAAGGACCGTCGAAAAGGAAGACGACGCTCCCCCGGTGCGGTGGCCACGAGCCCAACAGCAGTCTATCACCGCCATGTTGGACGATGCAGTTGACGATGTCACACGTCGTTGAGCATCCCCACGAAAATTTCGCTGTAAAGAAGTTTTGGCCAGGTGTTGCCGCTGCACATGATCCTCCGCGGTTAACTCCCTTCGCCAGTCATCAATTGCAAACATGTTACCGCTCATATGACTTCTAGTCCTTTACTATTAGGGGCTACAGGCCACACAAATAAACACAAGCACAAGGGGATATTTTCATTGCAATGAATATATACAGTTACAATGGTGTCCCCTCCTCAACAGTGGAAAAAAAACATTCACAGTTACCGGCAATCATTATACTCCACACCAATGCACAATCAAAATTAAAAAAAACATGGCGCCTCGTAATGCTACTCCTCCTCCTCCGTTGCATCTGGAATTGGCTCCCATCCGGAAGGTGGTTTCTTCGCTCCAGACGAACAGAGTACCCTGAATCGGTTGCCTGAAAGTTTCCGGTCGTTACGCTGAGCCTTATTTATGTCCTTGTGCATTCTATAGGTCGACGGAAGCGAAGTCCCATGCACAGTCATATCATAGAGATACTTTCCGTACATAGCGTTGTCTTCGTTAGGAATATCACGTCGGGCAAATAATTCATAATGTGTGTTGTTTGGTAATCGTTTTTTCATAATGAAGTCCGGAAGGTTCTGCCCGTATCCCGGACGCATCTCCCGCATTGGATACCCTGTAAATGTCTTAAACTCCGGCGACATTGACCGCTCGTCCTCTAACTGCCACGCACCCGGTGCCTTCTCCTCAATGTACTCCTGAAAGATGCGGGCTCGCGCCAGCCGCAAGTCCCAACGCTGTGCACACGGAACTGGAAGAGTGCTGGGGTGTGTATATCCAACACGGTGAACTCCCAGACGAATCGGCACCCCGCGCAAAGCCATTTCAAGTACTATACCCCCTCACCCTGCACCCTCACTCACACGTAGACGCCCCCTCCGCAGCGACTACAGGGAAAGAGAAAGAGGGAAAAAGACGTGGGAAATAAACACAGAAACATAAATGCAAAACAAAACAAAGGTAAAAACACATTCAACACAATAAATAAACGCAGGGAACAAAAAGGGAGAGAGCCATTGACGGTAATGTAACATCGCCCTCCCCCTCTCCCCAACACACACACGCAAAAAAGTGGCCCAAAGAAACATCATGCAAACACGCAATCCAGGTGGTAATGACATGACAGACGGATCGAGAGAAACGGACGTCCACAGCCGCCAAATCCTCTCCTGGCATGTTATTCCCTCAAAAGCCGGCACAATGCAGGAAAGTATCCCCAACGTTGTGAAATAATCGTCGGTAATTAATCTTAAGGAATAACACACACGCACACACACACGACGAAAAAAAAAAAGAAAATGACGTATTGGCACTTGTTTAAGCCTCTCCTCCAACGGCAGCACATCTTGACCACATTTCCACTTCTTCCTTCACGCCCTTCCACCACCACCACCACGTCTCCTTCGCACAGGACCCAAGAATAAAGAAAAGAAGCAAAAGAAACAATAATAATAATAATAATAATGTGCGTCCAATAAGAAGAGTCAAGACGTATCGCTCACAGTCGGCAAAAGACCCTGCCGGCAAGAAGGAACCAAAAAATATGTCAGAGAAAAGTAAAAGAAAAAAACAACAACAATAAACAATAAAAAACAAACGAAAAAGAAAGAAAAAGAGACGTCCACACGAAACAAAATCGATCGTGGAGCCCAATGAATACCCTCTTTTGCATTGTATTCTCCTTTCTGCCTCCCCTCTGTCACCACCTCCTCGTCCTCCTCCATCCGCGTTCTTTCCCTTTTTTCCTTTTTTTCTTTTATCTTTTTTCACGCTCTCTCTCCTTTGCATCTCGTATTTCCCCCTCTTTTTTTTTTTTTTTCTTTTTCGCTCCTTCCTTCATTCCTTACTACTGCGGCGCGGGAGGTTTCGGGATCATGTCATTCGGCACATGCTGAAACACACAATTTGACTTGTTGCACACCCATGCCACCTCCAACTCGTACAATTTGTCCTTTGATTTATCGTGCACATCGTGGAGGATTTTCGTGAGCTTCACCACCGCCTCGTCGCAGGTAAGTGATTTAAAATTCAGTTTCTCTAACTCTGTCTTGGCCACTGTTTTCCCCTTCCCCAGTGCTATGCCGTAGTAACCGGCCACTGTTCCGCTCGGGTCAGAGACGAAAAGCTGTGGACCGTCATCGGCGTAGGAAGCAATTATAACAGAGCAGCCAAAGGGGCGGTAGGCGTAGTGGGTGGTGTAAACATGCATAAATTCACCAATACGGGATGCAAGCACAGAGCCGGGAATGGGAGTAGCGAATACATCACGACTGTTTTCCGCCTCAGCACGAGCCCGTGAGACAACGGCGCGACCATCAGGAAGCATGCCGCAAATGCAGACACCAGCCTGGCGATCTACAGCGTGGATGCGATCATTCGACCTCTCCTCCAGCATGCGGCTGGTAAGAATCTTTTCTACCGCTACCACCACACCGTCGGTGCAACACGCAGCAACGGCCGTACTGCCATTGTCAACAGCCTTGCATGCGTATTCCACCTGAAAGACTCGACCATCCGCAGAGAAGATGTCCGTTGACTGGTCATGCTCCGTTCCTGACATTTCTGAGGGGTTCTTTTTCCTTCTTGCTTTTTTTTTCTTCTTATTGTTTGGATG